AAGCAGTTAAGAGCACTGGCTGCTCTTCCAGAGGACCCAGGTTCAATTCCCAGCACCCACATGGCAGCTTACAACTTTCTGTAACTCCAGTTCTGGGGGACCTAATACCCTCACACAGACACATATGCAGGAAAACACCAATGCACAGCCAGGTAGTGGTGGTACACACCATTAATCCCAGAGCTTGGAAGGCAGAGGCAGGAGGATCGCTGTGAATTTGAGGCCAGCCTGGTCTACAGAGCGAGTTCCAGGACAGCCAGAGCTACACAGAGAAACCCTGTCTCAGAAAACCAAACAGCAAGCAAGCAAACAAGCCCACCAATGCATATAAAATAAAAATAAAATTATATATATATATATAATTTGATTCGATTCACATAGAACCGTTTCAGGAGGCAACTGAGCCAGGCAGGGCAAGAGAACTTGTTTTTATTGGGGGGGGTGTGTATTTGTGTTATGGTGGTAGTCACATGCCATATAGAATTTTCAGCTGGCCTTGGTGTCTCATGACAAAACCCAGAACTCAGGAGGCAGAGGGCAAGAGTATCTCCGTGAGTTCAAGGCTAGCCTGGTCTACATAATAAGTTCTAGGCCAACCAGGGTTATACAGTGAGACCTTGTCTCAAAATGATAATAAGAGCAAAGCGATATCTTGGAAGTGAAAAGAAACATTTGCAGCTCATGGGCCAGACATGGTGGTGCCTCCCTTTAATCCCATCACTCGGGAGGTAGAGGCAGGCAGATCTCTGTGAGGTAGAGGCCGGCCTGGTCTACAGAGCGAGTTCCAGGACAGCCAGGGCCACACAGAGAAACCCTGTCTCGAAAAAACAAACAAAACAACAACAAATCCCACTTGCTGTTCTTGCAGAGGACCAGGATTTGGTTCCCAGCACTCAGATGCCAGCTTACAACTGTAACTCCAGGGGTTCAGTCACCCTCTGTGACCCTGAACGTGGGAGGCACAGAAGCAAGGTAAGCAGCCGCACACATCAATAAAGACGATCTTTAAATGCAATTCAAAACTCCGCTGAAACGAGAGCTCACAACTGTTACATCTGCTGCTTGTAAGGTTTTTTTAGTGTTGTTTTGTGTAGTTTTTTGTTTGGTTTTTTAAATTTATTTTTGTTTTATGTACATTGGTGTTTTGCCATGGGTGTCAGGTCCCCTGGAACTGGAGTTCTGGACAGTTGTGAGCTGCCATATAGGTGCTAGGAACTGAACCTGGGTCCTCTAGAAGAGAAGTCCATGCTCTTAACCACCAAGCCATCTCTCCAGGCCTGTTTGTTTGCTTGGTTTGAGACAGGTTTTTTTCACTGACTGTCCTGGCACTCAATCACAGAGACCCACCTGCCTTTGCCTCCCGAGTGCTGGAATTCAGGGTGTGTCACCACCATCCAGCTGTGTGTGTCTGTGTGTTTGTTTTTTGTTTTGTTTTTGAGACAGGGTTTCTCTGTGTAACAGTCCTGGCTGTCCTGGAACTCGCTCTGTAGACCAGGCTGGCCTCTAACTCACAGAGATCCGCCTGCCTCTGCCTCCCAAGTGAGTGGGTGCTGAGATTAAAGGCTTGCACCACCACTGCTGGGCCTGTCAAGTTTTGTTTTGTTTTTTGTTTTAAGCACACAAGTACAGATAGGAATACATTGAACGGTGAAAAGATAGATTCTGGATGAACGGTGAGTGAATGTGTAGTTGAATGTGGTGACTGTCCACCACCGTCTTGGCTAAGAATATGCTTGTCCTCTTTCTTTGCTCTGAACTGTTCTCTCCCTCTCTTCCCCAATCTCTGCTTTCCCTTAGCGGCCCGAAGATGGCCTTGTGCAAGCAGCGAGCCTTCCCCAGCTCTTCTAAAGCTGCTTCCCAGGACTTCCTGGGGCCCAGTCCCTTTCAGCTGCCACGTGCCACTGTTTGCAGTTCCAGTTCTGCACAGTGGTGCCAAGGTCACCTGTGCGATGCCCAACTACAGACCCACATTGCCAGCGGCGCAGCAGCCCGAACCCTGGCCGACCCCGCCACCTTCTGGCCATGGACAGAACTTCCTCTCTTAAACAGCGGGGAAGATCAAACCGTGGAAGACTGCGCTGGGGCTTACATTTTTATCCTTTAGAATCACCACGGCCACTGTGCAAGGTGGGCTTTGAAACTTCCAGAAGCGAGGAGACGCAAAGAAACTTGTCGTTCGTACTATAAGCTTGGGACCTGAGATTCCTATTCAGGGATGGTTCCTGCTCCCCTCCCCCATGTGAATTTAAGTGCTTGGGATTGAGTAGGGGGGAAAAAACGGGTGGGGAGGTGACTATCCTTTTTCACCTCCCCAAAGGAGGGCAAAGGCCTCACAGCACCTTCCCAAAGTCGTCTTTCAGGAAGGAGGATGTGATGGCTCTCGCATGGCTGGGACGGGGTCAAGAAGAGAAAACAAGTATCAGAAAGAACATGGCCTCCAAACTGTGGGCTCAGCCCGGAGATGGGGTGACAGGCACGCCACTAAACAACCTGTTAGTGCTAGCGGGCAGGAAGCAAGTCAAATGAGGACTTGAAGTTGTTCTTTGGACCTAACTGCCTGTGCTTCCAACTCAAGAATAATAACCCAGGAGTGACATATTATTTTTACATCTCATTTGCATATGATTAATTCCAAGCCTGAGTGAATGGAAGTCACGCTGGCTTCTCAGCCCTCCTACCTGTTTGCCCAGTCCCCCCTCCTCTAACTCTTGCTGGAATCTGCTCCCCCCACCGTCCTTTACCTACTCCTTGCCCCGTCCCTCCCTCTCCAGTTAGTTCCCTGTTCCCTTCCTCTCTGTCGCCCACGCAGCCTCCGCCACCTGGCCGCCCACCGGAAAAACTTTTCCCCAAGTTCCCGAGAAGTCGCGTAGGATCCAGGAGAGAAAAATCAAAGTAATAAAACCTCATTTAATTCCTAACGGAGGGCAGAGCTGTGAGCTGCAATTATCTTAATGTGGAGCTATTTTTACTCTCTCTCCATCTCTGTCTCCTGCCTTTCTGTCGTGAGGGTTTCTCCTCTCCATTCTCTTTGTCTCTTCATCTCACGTTGGGTCCCCTCTTCTGTTCACTCTCTCCACGACCCCACCCCCGTCCCTCTTAGCTATGTGTCCCTCCCCTTCTGCCTGTCCCCTGTACATATATCTCCCTACCTTTTCATCAGAGGCATCACACCCAGACAAAGCTGGACAAAGAGGTGAAGACCACCCTCTGTCCCCAGGGGGACATCTTCTGGGATTTAATTGTGCTCTTGTCTCCCTACCCAGGCACCATGGTGGTAGTGGTGGTGGTGGTGGGGATCCTTCATAACTGTTTCTGTTAAACTAGTGTGTTTCCAGAAGTTTCCAGTGGGCACTGAGGTATACTGGGGGGGGCTCGGTCCCCTTTATCCTCCATATACCCTTCCTCACGTATAGCAGGGTACACCCTAGCTAAAGGCTCCTCAGGTTGCTGCTCTCTGGCCATGTTCCTCTTTATCCTCCCAACACACCACAGCTGCCTTTTGTTATTCCCCACCCCATCTGGAAGAGGGGTCCTGGGCCAAGCTAGGGACAGCCAGAGATGCCCATGTCCCTGGCCAGCAACCTAACATGGGCTGTTTCCCAGAAAATATACGTCAACAAGCTGTAGCCAGGCTTGGACTGGAGGGTGTGGGGCCTGGCCACCAGGACATCCTAGTCCCAAGAGTAGAGCCTGTCCGCTGCCACCTTCTCTCTCTCATCCCCCAGAGGGCACGGAGTCTGGGGCAGACAGCAGGCCCCTGACCTCATTTCCCTGAGACTCCACCGCCTGTCATTCACCTGGAGCCACAGTGCTGGAGCTGGGAGTGGAAAAGTTGCTGGTGGAGTTAGGGGTGTGGTGAGGAGGGCCCCTGCTGTTCCTGGCCGGAGAGTGGCCAGGAGAGAGGACAGCCAACACAAACAGAACCCCGGGAGGGCACACACAGCGCAGGTCCACACGCCCCTTCTGGGCGCTACAGAGTGGCATTCAGTCCTTCTTGCCAGCCCCGCAGAGGGTAGTGCCAGCTCCTGCAGAGACTCAAGGGCTTGGGCAGATAAACAGGGGCACTTAACCCACAAAGCGGCCCCTCTCCTCCAACACACACACACACACACACACACCTGTGGAAGAGGCTGACACCTCAGAATGATCACACACACCTCTCTCCCCCAGCTCTGTTCCCCAATGCACCAAGCCCACACACCCGATGGCACGTGTACTCCTAAGGCAGCCCCCCAACCCTGCCCCCTGGTTGCTTCTGTCCCCTCCCCCAGAAGATGGAGAGAAAAGGCAAGAGACACGTGAATGCTGGGTAAGTTGTAGCAGGGACTCATCCCCCTCTCCCCTGGGAAATTCGCTCTCACACTCTCAGCCTCAAGCCCCTCTCTCTCCTGCACAGCCCCCCCGCAAGCTGGCACCCGCCTGCCCATCACCTTGACAGCCTCTGACATCCTCCTCCACACCCACACCCTCCCCCGTACACACGCGGTCCTCCTACACGCTGCCACTCACACCCGCATCTTTGACACTCTGACACACTTACATAGACGCACGCACTCACACCACACCGACCCCCACCCTCCCCAGCTACAGCACTCCAGGCCTCTGGCAGTCTCTTGCACACACTCCCTACCACGATGACTGACAGGTGTCCTCCCCCGCACACCTCTCACACTAGCTTTCTAGGACACCCCCTTTCACAGCGTGACATGCTGGCACTCTCTTCTCGACCTCACAGGCCTCTCTTGAAACTCCACGTCCCTGGGTGGGGGCGGGGGGGCGCTCCGAAGTGGTTAAGGCCAGAGTCAGTCACGGCTCCAGCTGCCCCTGCCCCTCCCCTTAGCCTCGCGGCTGGACTCCATCAATAATGCAGCGCCGAGTTCTGGGGAGACGGCAGGGGGCCCCCAGGCCGCTCCCCGGCCCTGGCTCGCACTCTGCACCCTCCTCCCATCCCCGGGAGAACACGCTTCTCGATGCTCATTGGCCGCTTTCCCCTAAGCCCTCCCTCCCAGCGCCTGGGCGCCAGTCCCTGGCAGAGGGGACGGGCTGGGACCCCAGGGTTGGGACCTGTAGGGTGCAGCCAGCAGAGGCAGAGGCACCGAAAGGAAGAAAGGCAGAGGGAGGGTAGACAGAAGGTGGTGGAGCGAGACCGAGGGCAGTCCACCGAGACCCGCAGAGAGCGCAGGCTGGCAACCGGAGCCCCGCGCCCCAGCCAGGTAGCGCGCGACCGAGGCGAGGGGACCGCGAGCCCAGGGCAGGGGACGCCGAGCCGAGCGTTTCAGGCGAGCCCCGTGGTCCAGCCCTCCCGGTCCTAGAGCGCTCCCCTCGCGGGTCGCGGGATTTTCCTAAGTGCGGGGACAGCGCTCCTCCTCCTCCTCCGCGCAGCACGCGCCACCCATAGCTCCGGACAGCGGAGCAGATATCAGCCCAACACCCCAGGCGCGCGCAGCTCGCCATGGACCCCAAGGACCGCAAGAAGATCCAATTCTCTGTGCCCGCGCCCCCCAGTCAGCTCGACCCCCGCCAGGTGGAGATGGTAAGGGGGCTGCGCCCCATCCGCGTAGCGCCCTCAGTGCGACTCCTCCGCGCAACCCAGCTGTTCTGCTGGACTCTGCCTGGGTTGCAGCCAGGCGCCCCGCAGGGCGGGAAGTTCGTTAGCGACTCCTAGCAACTCCCCACACCCACTCCGGACCTCTGAGCCGATTTTGGGCGGGAGAATTACGGCAGTGGGCGTCCCGCAGTGCTCCCATGGGACTGCCCTTTTGACCCTTACAGAGCCCCGCTAGGCTAGTCTTTTCCCAAGGACCAAGTCACTGTGGTGGCACGCCAGCGATGCACACAGCTCAGGCGTCTGAGGCAGTCATTTTCAACTTCGTGGTCTAGATGACCTCAGTTTCACCCTATAGGCCTGGTCTGAGGTCGCCAGAACCTTGTTCTGATTACTTTCTGCTATCGGGACCTAGAGCCACAACCCCAGGGAGTTGAATGGTCATGGCTTCCTTGGAGGTTGGACCTACAAAGATGCCAGCGGGAGGTGGTGGAGGCAGAGGTCTGTACTCCACGACCTAGTAAGGACACTTGTTGCTGAGATGCCACTCGCTCTGGAGGGCATTGAGAACTAGGCAAAACCCTTCTCGGGGTATTTGGTCGGGGTGGGCTGAAGCCTGGGCCTCAGTAGCTTTTGGCATCAACAACAGCTCCAACTTCAATTACCTAGTCCTCTCTGCATTTCCCTGGAGCTCAAAGGGGACCTAATTAACTGACAGTTGGTCTGATTGCCAAGCTAGGGGTAGACAAGGAGAACAATTTTACATTTTTTTTCATGGGAACTGGGTGAAAAATCCCACAGCTTGGGAAAAACTGTGCCAGGGGCCCAGACTCCAACCTCTAGAGACCCCAGCAGACCACTGGGTGTCTGGGGCTCAGGTAAGGATGCAGGTTCCTCAGTACTGGGCTCAGACACCTCCAGTTGCTTTGGAGCCCTTAAACTGACCTATGGTGGGCAGAGCCATAGGCACCTCCTTTAGAGTGAGCGAGGTAGAGTCTTCTAGAGAAGGTTCTGTGATAGCTGTGGTGTGGGACCATCTGGACTTGGAGTCAGTGGATGGTTTGTCTAGTCTTTTGGACCCAGCGTGCTGTGCTGTGTGACCTTGAACACGTTGCTGAACCTCTCCATGCCTGGGACTTTTCATCCCTGTAAAATACAGGGATTGAGTGAGTTGAGTGAGCTCTAGCTGCCTTCGATTCACAGGCTCCCTGAGGACTCCAAAGTCTTGCTTCCAGCTGGCTCAGGGTGGTGGTAAGGGGCCTGTACAGTCTTTCTCCTGTGTTCCTTTCCTCCGTCTCCCTAGATCCGGCGCCGGAGACCAACGCCTGCCATGTTGTTCAGGCTCTCGGAGCATTCTTCTCCAGGTAGGGCCCATTCCCTGTTCTCTGCCTCAAGTCCGGTGCCTTTCTGGGGCCCCCATGAGAGGGGGACAGGCTGGAGACTAGAGACCTGGAAGGCTCACTCTGCTGGCCTACTGTTGTGGCACCTGTTGGCACCAGAAGGGAAGGGCACACTTCTGCTGTTCCGAAGACTGAGGCTTTGGGGAAAGTAACCTGATTCTTTTTCTCTTCCTCCTCCTTCGTGGTTGGCATGTGCCTGGTGATCTCTCTCAGAGGAGGAGGCCTCCCCGCACCAGGTGAGTTTCCTGGGGCAGGACACTTAGCTGGGCCCTCTGGGGTAGGGTGATGCCTGCTGAGCCAACCCAGGGGCCACCACAGGACACATTAGCATATCAGTGGCATTTCTCTGGAAAGATCCTGTTCGGAGTGTCACCCTCTCTCTGAGTGGCGCTGGGTGGGGTGTCCATGACAGAGGGTCCCCTCTGCTAATGGGGACAGGGCTTGGCCTAGGTGTCCCATGCTCCCTCAGCTGTCAGAGTTGTGCCACTGGAGGGAGGGGAGAGGGAAGGGGTCTATGGGGAACCTACTTCAGCTGCCTCTTCCCTGTAGAGAACCTCTGGAGAGGGGCACCACCCGAAGTCGAAGAGACCCAACCCCTGTGCCTACACGCCCCCGTCACTGAAAGGTACTAACCCCGCCCCTCCATCTGTCTTGTGGCCTCCTGGAGCCCTGCAGCTGGGCTATGTGGGGGAGGAAGATGGTGTCACTGTCACTGGAAAGGACCTGCCACCAAATCACTGCCTGACCTGGGAGACTGGTTCTTTCCTGGGCTCCCAGAGGCAGGGAAAGGGCATCATTTCTCTAACAGTAGGTTGAGGGGGGCGAAGGGGAGAGCTGGCTAGCCCCCAGGATGCCGAGAGCGTTGGAGTGAGAGTCTGGAGGTGTGTCTCCTGGGCCAAGCTTACCCCACTATCCCTCCAGATCCACTCCCATGCAGGCTTGCATCCTCGACACCCCCTTGACTGCTCTTTCTGCCTAGATTAAAGCCTGTCACCCCTGTCACACATGCCAGGTCTCATTGGTGGGTACTGGGGGAAATAAGATGAGGAAGACAGCCGGGCGGTGGTGGCGCATGCCTTTAATCCCAGCACTCGGGAGGCAGGGGCAGGCGGATCTCTGTGAGTTCGAGGCCAGCCTGGTCTACAGAGTGAGTTCCAAGACAGTCAGAGCCACACAGAGAAACCCTGTCTCGAAACCTCCCCCCAAAAAAGATGAGGAAGATTTGGAGGCTCACGGTGTAGCTCAGTGGTAGAGCACTTGATTGGCATGTATAGGACCCTGGGTTACAGCCCTAATACTGATTTTTTTTTAAAGACAGTATGGTGGCACAGGGGTCTGTAACCTCAGCATTTTGGAGACAGGCAGGGAGGTTTCTGTGAGTTCAAGGTAAACCTGGTTTATAGAGAGAGTGCCAGGCCAGTTAGAGTTGTACAGTAAGTAAGACCCTGTCTCAGAAAATTAAAATAGCCAAGCAGTGGTGGGTCACCCCTTTAATCCCAGCACTTGAGAGGCAGAGGCAGACAGATCTCTGTGAGTTCCAGAGCAGCCTGGTCTACAGGAATAAGTTCCAGGACAGGCTCCAAAGCCTCAGAGAAACCCTGTCTCAAAAAACAATAAATAAATAAATGAATAAATAAACACTAAAAAACAACGCCCCCACCATGCTTGGTGGCTCATACCAGTCACCCTTGCACTTAGGAGGCAGAGGCAGGAAAATTGCTAGGGACATGAGGTCACCCTGGGCTGCACCCTAGCTGCCATGTCAGCTAGGGCAACACAACAAGGCCGTGTCTCATAAAGAAATGAAAAATGAGCGATTTGTTCCCTGGCCCCAGACCCTTGCCTCTAAGGGTCAGGGAGAGTTTGCTGAAGGGACAAGGCTAGGGCTTGTGGGATTGACAGACCAGAAAAGAGAGGCAGAGGAAGAAGGTGTGCAGAGGGCAGGGAGGTGTGTGTCAGGAGTTTCGGGACAGCTGGAGACTTGGTTTCTGGCCAGGGGACTGTGGGAGACGCACCTGAAGGAGGAGCCGTGCAGATGGACATGCCAGGGGCCTCTTCCCAGCTAGGTGCCAGCTGCCCATCACCCCCACAGGAAGCTTTCTTGCCTGGCCTGTCCCTTCTCTCTCCCCAGAGTGGGTAGATGAGTTTAATATGGTTTCCCAGAACCAGCCAAGGTCAACAGGTGCACCTGGCAGCCCCGCCTGCTGACCGGGGACAGCGGAGCGAAGCCGGGAGGCCAGGGGAAGAGTACAGGTGTGTTGCTTCTCCTGGGAAAATGAAGGGAGGACGCTGCGGCAAGTGGCCGTGGGAAAGGACTTCCTGTAGGGACTTGCAGAAGGACTTAAAGCAGGCGTGAAGACAAGTGGTGCATTTCCAAGGCAGAGTACAAGAACTTGGCCTTGAGACTGGGGAGGAGAGTGCTTGGGACCCTGGATTTGATCACCAACTTACCCACCTGTAAGCCTGGCACTCAGGAAGTAGAGGTTGGAGGATCACAAGTTCGAGATCATATTCAGTGAATTTGAGACTGGGATACATCAAGAGACCCTGTCTCCACTCTAGGCTGGGTGGATGTGAGGGGGAAGCAGCCCCCGCCCCTGTGGCTTTTGGAGAGGTGCTGGGGACAGAAGCCAGGGTCTTATGCACTAAACACACAGTGTAATGCCAAGCTCCAGCCCCCCCCCGTTCAGTCCTCCCTGGCTTTGGTTATGCACTTTGGGAGTGCGCTGAGGTAGGAGTTTGTTTAGGGCCATGAAATGTTTCTTTTTCTCTTTTTCTTTTTGGTTTTTCTTTCTTTTTTGGGGGGTGTTCGAGACAGGGTTTTTCTGTAGCTTTGGAGGCTGTCGTGGAACTGGCTCTTGTAGACCGAGTACTGGGATTAAAGGTGCGCCCCATCACAGACCAGTGGCCAGGAAGTTTCTTGCGTACCAAGAGATGACCAAAGACTTACCTGCCCATGGTCTGGGTAGAGAGAGACAGGGTTGTATAAAGGAATCAGGAGAGGGCCGTACTGGGCTTCTTCAGTCTTGAAAAGGAAGACTAGGGGTGCGGTTAGTTTCCAGACATGGAGAGGTAGGAGAAGGAGACAGTGTGGTAAGGAAAGTTTAGCCTCCAGAAGGCCCAGCGAGGCATGAGAGGCTGAGTGAGGCCAACAGGAGCTCACCGGCACATGCACGGTGCTGCACACACCTATCATCGTGGCGCAGATCACGAACCAGAACCAGCTCTCCTCTCGCGACTGCGTGCCTGCCACCTCCTCTCCCCCAGCCCAGAGGCCCTTCTGCATCGAGATGGTTCTGTTTGACAAGCTTAGCCCTTTCTGGGCAAGGGCAAGTGTCTGGCAGGGTTTGGGTTTTGTAGGGCAGGATTCAAGAGTCCTCCATGAAGGGTGAACAGCACAAAGCCTCAGGGGGGCAGGGGGTGGGAGTTTAAAGGGTGCTCCTAGGTCAGGGCTCTCTCGGTTGGATCAAGGTGAAACTTTGCCGGTTCCCCAAGGCCAGGCAGGGCAATTTATTGCCATTTTATTGCCTGAGTAGCTTGCCCACAGCCAGCGGGAAGAGGTAGATTTGGAGCTGGGGGCAGGGCGGGGCATTGGGCACACACAATGAGCCCTCTGTGCCTGTCCCTGAGTTGGCCCTGCTCCTGCACTGGAGGTTTCCAGCCTACCCCCTGGGCTGCTAAGGGGAGGGGCCACTGTTGGATTGAGAAGCCAAGGAGCACTGACCACTCCAAAGAGTCTAGGCTGGGGGCTGTGAGTTTAGTGTCTCAACTACTCTAAAAGCCTGAAAGTCCCTGGTCCCTTGCTGAGACTGCTCTAGACTTTTGTTTTGTTTCAGGGGGTTGTTTATGTAGCTCAGGCTAGATTAGACCTTGCTATGTAGCTGAGGATGCATTTGAACTCCTGATCCTCCGGCCTCTACCTTATGGGTGCTGGGATCACAGGCCTCTGCTAGGGGCTCTGTGTGCCAGGCAGGCAGTCTACCAGCTGATCCACACCCCCAGTCCCTCCACCCCAGTCTTAACCTAACAATGTTCCTTCAAACCTTGCCATTCCCCGGAACCCCCAGCCCATCCCTTCCTCCCCTTCCCCCCCTTTCCATCTTTGGGAAGCCGCCCACACTGTTCCTTTCCTAGGTTGCATCTGAGCAGGTCTTTGTGGTGGTGGTGGGGTGTTGCTGCTTTCTGGGTCATCGCAGAGGGAGCTGGGAGATTAGGGATATGGGTCAAGACGGTGAGGGCTGAGTGGTCCATTTGCCCAGCAAGGACTTTACTGGCTGCAGATGCCGTGACCTCAGGCTCAGGATTGTTCCTGATTTGGGAGGCTGGGGGAGAGGTGCAGTTTGGTACCTCATGCTGGGCAGTATTGGGCAGGGAAGCACAGCAAAGTGCATCTTCCAGTGTCAGGGAAAATGGCTCTGGCCCACAGGCCTGGCACCTTCTGCCTGGGGTTAGCACTGGTAGACACTCTCCAGTGCTGGCCACCTGGCTGATAAGCTCCCTGGGCAGAGAATGTTAAGCTGTTGCTGTGCTGGCCTGGTCTTGCCCAGCCTGGTGCCCTGTGGTGCAGGGGAATTTTCTGATGCCAATCTTGGGGGGCATCTTGGAACAGCTGAAGAGCCAATAAGATCACATGTACCCCTGTTGCTCCCACCTCGTTTGGACAACCCCCGCAGTGGAGTGAACGTGGGCCCCTTAGAGCATCGCCTCTACCTCAGTGTGTGCACGGGCTGCTCCTGCAGCCTGGCTGACCCTGGCCTCCCTGGGTCCCCTCAGTGTGTGCACGGGCTGCTCCTGCAGCCTGGCTGACCCTGGCCTCCCTGGGTCCCCTCAGTGTGTGCATGGGCTGCTCCTGCAGCCTGGCTGACCCTGGCCTCCCTGGGTCCCCTCAGTGTGTGCATGAGCTGCTCCTGCAGCCTGGCTGACCCTGGCCTCCCTGGGTCCCCTCTGCCAGCTGTGCAGCGCATTGCAGAGTCCCACCTGCAGACCATCAGCAACTTGGGCGAGAACCAGGCCTCGGAGGAGGAGGATGAGTTAGGGGAGCTTCGGGAGCTGGGGTACCCAAGAGAGGACGATGAAGAAGATGAGGAGGAGGATGAAGAGGAGGATGAAGAGGAAGACAGCCAGGCAGAAGTCCTGAAGGGCAGCAGGGGAACTGGTAAGCTGAAGGGGCTGCAGTTGGTCTGTAGTTTCTGCTACCGTGGGTCAGGCATGGCTCGTCCAGAAATATCCTGTGATGTCCTTCTAGGGCCACCTTTGGAGACCTGGCATCACCTAGCCTTGGTTAATCCTTCACCTGATTAGCTAGACCCCAAAAAAGAACTTCCTATCCATGGAAGCGAATTGTAAGAAGGTTCACGGATAAAGAGAGCCCAGCATTCCCTTTTCTGCATTTCTGAATCCCATGTTGTGCTTCGGAGGCGGACTGATTTGCCCCCTCCAGGACCTTTGAGACTTTTTCCTTCCTAGGATGGGGTGGGAGAGTGCCCTCTAGTGTCCAGATGTTGAATCAAGTATTTAAGAACAAATCTGGTCCACATCCCTACTCTACCTAGAAATAAGGCCCCTAATCCTTCATACAAGGCCCAAGAATCAGAAAACCCACAGAAGATACCCACATGCAGACAAATTGGGCAGAAAGACCTCATCCCCTCCTATGGTTGTAGCTCCCATGCCTGACCTCAGAAGGCTATGCTACGTCTGGCCTGGTGCAAACATTAAACTTTTTAGATTCCACCCCTCTTGCTTTTTTCCCTTTTTAAGTTATTTATTTTTATTTTATGTGCATTGGTGTTTTGTCATGGGTGTTGGATCTCCTGGAACTGAAATTGCAGACACTTATGAGCTGCTATGGGGGTGCTGGAAACCGAACCAGGGTCCTCTGGAAAAACTGACCAGTCAGTGTTCTTAATCCCTGAGCCATCTCTCCAGCCCTCTTTTTCTTTAAGATTTATTTATGTATTAAGTATATAGTGATCTGCCTGCACGTCAGAAGAGGGCACCAAATCTCACTATAGATGGTTGTGAGCCACCATGTGGCATTTGGTTGGTGGGAATTGAACTCAGGACCTCTGGAAGATCAGTCAGTGCTTTTAACCTCTGAGCCATCTCTCCAGTGCCCCCCCTCCCTGTTCTGTTTTTTGAGACAGGGTTCTCTGTGTAGCTCTGGCTGTCCTGGAACTTACTCTGTAGACCAAGCTGGCCTCGAACTCACAGAGGTCTGCCTGCCTCTGCCTCCCCAGTGCTGGGATTAAAGGGGTGCACCACCACTGCCTGGCTTGGACCCATTTTTTTATGGGAATGACAAGCAGTCTCTTACTTCAAGTGTCCAGCCCTTGGGCCCAGACAAAATGAGTTGAGTCTCCTCTCTGCATCTCTGGCACTGGGTGTGACTGGGCTGCAAGGGCTGAGTGAGCCTCCCTATGAGACCCCCAGAACAGGTGGGAAATAGATGAGAGATGCTCTCTCAGGAAGGGGAAGACGTCCCTGGGTCACGTGACTGGGTCACTAAGGAGCAACATCAACCCCCAGCACTCCTGAGGGACTCCAGGGTACCAATTCTGGTTGTTTTTTGTTTTGTTTTGTTTTTGTTTCTTGTTTTAGGTAGAGTTTCACTCTGAAATCCAGGTTGGCCTGAATGTTAATTATGTATCTCAGCCTGACCTTGAACTCAACGTAATCCTCCTGCCTCAGCCTCCTGTCTTGGGTCATTACTGGCATAAGCCTCCACACCCAGCTTCCCAGTAGGTATAATCTTATCTAAGGTAATGTACACCTATCTTCTTACATAATATTTCCTTCAGAAAAGTGCCCATGAAGCTGGGTGCTGTTGGCGCACCCCTTTAATTCCAGCACTAGGGAGGCAGAGGTAGGTGGATCTCTGTGAGTTCGAGGCCAGCCTGGTCTACAGAGCGAGTTCCAGGACAGCCTCCAAAACAATACAGGGAAACCCTGTCTCAAAAAACAGAAGTGAGCTAAGACCCGTGGCCAGTCGTAGGGAGAGTTGTCCGGTCCAGTGCTCCACCCACTGTGTGATGGTGCTTTGGAAGCTTGGTCTCAAGCCACCAGACATCACTCATGCTGCAGGGCCCCAGATGGACACTCAGCCTGTTTGTATGCCCTCTTTTCCAGGGGGGCAGAAGCTAACTTGTGGCCGGGGTCTGGAGGGGCCCTGGGAGCGTCCGCCTCCTCTGGATGAGCCCCAGAGACACGGAAACTCTGAGGACCAAGTGGAAGACCGAGCAGCACTAAGTGGTGAGCCTTGCAGCGTGGGGTGGGGAGGTGGATGGAAACCTCACTGGCCAAGCCGGGCCTTGAGCCTTCTCTACTTGTCTTTCAGTGTCCGGGGAGGAGCCCCAGCGCCCTGCCCGTCCTGAGCCTGGCACATAAGCGCAGAGTCCTGCATCTCCAGGAGGAAGTGCTCCCCAGAAACCCGCTCTGTCCCACCCCACTTTGTACCCTTTCTTTCACCTGCTAGGGCTGCGGCTTCTGACCTCCTGAAGACTAAGGCTGATCTATGTTTGCTTTGGCTGAAGCCCAGAGTCCCCGATGCCTCTCCCTGCCAGTCATTCTATTTCCCCGGTGGGAGGGAGGAGGTGAGGGAGAGCCCACACTGGAGAACTCAGAAGGCCAGAGACAAATATTTGCCCTTCACAATTCTCCTCTCCAGATTCACTCCCCTGGGCCCAAGAGACCCACAGGGCAGGCCCCTAAGATCTGGGGAAAGAAGGCTGAGAGCCTGCAAGTGTCCTGAACCCCCCTCCCTTCTTCCCATGGGGGCTTTGAGCTCCCACCCCTCTCACAGACGTCTACCGGGGTCCAGGTCTCAGGCATTCTTTTCTACAGCCTCAAAATTGGATGTCGTCCCCTATTGTCCACTCCTGCTGGGTGCCTGCAAGGTGGACTGGCAGATGCTGCTTGTGGCGTTTCGCTTGTGCTGCGGTGTCAGGAATGCCACTTAGTGTATGTCCTTAGCGGGGCCATACAGTGTGGGGAGCTTGGCTCCCCTTGTCCTCCAGCTGCTTGGCTCTCTTCCTTTTTCCCTGACCCCAGGCCTGAACTCCTCCTGCGCTGTAATAAATCTTTGTAAATAATTGTCCTGAGACTCCTCTTTCAGGGGAGGGAGGAGAGACCAGGAAGTAATGACATTGTCCTGACAGGGAAAATGGTGGTTATCCAAGGGTCAGGATTTTGACACCGGGGTCTAGTCCTCCTCAGGAATTTTTCCTGCATATAACAGGCATTAAGCATGAGAGACATATTAGCTCCTGAGGGAGATGGCTAAAAGTCGAGGAAGAACAAAAGTCCTTTAAAAGTGTGTGATGGGTGAGGTGGTGCACGTCTGTAATCCCAGCAATTGGTTTTTTTTAAAATTTTTTTTTTTTTTTACGAGACAGGGTTTCTCTGTATTGTTTTGGAGGCTGTCGGTCCAGGCCGGCCTCGAACTCAAAGAGATCCGCCTGCCTCTGCCTCCCGAGTGCTGGGATTAAAGGCATGTGCTACCAATCGCCCGGCTAATTCCAGCAATTGGAAGGTTCAGAGAAAGAGGGTTCTGAGTTCTGTTTCAAAAACCAAAAATGTATTTCACCAAGGGATCTGTACCTACAGATCGCCCCTCCTGCAGTTCCCTTTTACTCCAGGCCTGTGGTCTAATAACGACGACACCCAAGAGTTCTTCGGCTTTCCTGAACGCTCTCACAGTCAAACTGCCACCCGATTTCCGGCTCTTGTTCCCGAGGCTCCGGGTAGAGAGGGGCAGGACTGGGGCGGAGCTGCAGGTGCACATGATTCCCGGGTTGCTTTTTGGGGGCGGGCTCAGCGGCGGAAGTTGCGCCGCTGGAAGATCTCCTTCCGCTCTGTGGAGTTGCCTGTGCCGTGGAGCGGGACTGCAGCTGAGGCAGGAAGAGTGGGGGCCGTGGTGACATGAAGCAGGTGGGTCCCGCAGCGGTCGCTGGGGCCAGGCGATGGTATGAGAGCTGTCCCATGCCAACGGAATCCGCTTCCCTGCCCGGTGTCCGTCTTTGGTTCGGTCCGACCCTTCCCACGCCCCTCGCGCTCCGGGTTCCGCCCCCTTCCTCTCTGCCGGCTGCTGCTGCGTGCGCGGGGTAGAAGAGGGGGTGTTTCGTCCTTCCCCACCCCTGGGGGCCTGGGAGGCATCTGTGGTCGCTTTCCTAAGCATTCGTCTTTATAGCGAGGGGAGAAGAGAGGGGTGGGTATCTGAGTATTATGGGGCAGCGGTTGGGCGTTGGAAGGGGTCGAAATCAAGAGAAAACCACTTTACAAGTCTCCGCCACCCGCTGTTTTCTCCAACTTCGGTTGGACACATCCACGAATAACTTCCTAGTGATATCAGAAAGGCTCTTAAAACTTTTCTTTTTTCTTTTTCTCTTGTTTTGGCTTTTCGAAACAGGGTTTCTTTGTGGCTTTGGAGGCCGTCCTGGAACTAGCTCTTGTAGACCAGACTGGTCTCGAACTCACTGAGATCCACCTGCCTCTGCCTCCCGAGTGCTGGTTGAGACTTTTCTTGATTTCTCAGAAGCGGGTATTACCATTGGCTCTCATTCCTGATATGTTCCCACTCTTTGACTCCCCTGAATTTCTTGATTCCTTTTTTCTTCCTACCTCTCTGAGTAGACCAGAAGAACCGCTTTACATTCACTCTGGCCCAGCCCTCCTCTCTGCACTGATCTTGGATGCCCTCATCTACACTGTAGTAGCTTCAGGCTCACGTTCACTGATTATCCAGGTCGACCATGCCAGCACATCCTTTTCCAGGGTCTCCAAATTGGCTATCTGTCTGTCTGTCTATGGATACTTCCACTTCAGATGGGGCTGGCATCTTTCAAACCTGCGTGGTCTTTACTCTGTAAATCCATTCTTCTACTTTTGTCTTATCCCAAAGAAAAACTCCAGCATTGCCTCACATCCTTTCCCCTCAGTTTGCTCAGAGGTGTCAGTGCAGCTGACTTCCTGAGTCTTCTCTGTTACCACCGTTGTCGACAGTTTTCACTAGTGGTCCTCCTGCTTGCAGCCTGGTCTCCAAACTCTAGCTCTCGCAAGTTTTAGGTCACGAGTCTGAGTGTGTCATTTCCTTCCTTGTGGCCCTCTGCTTGCTTCCTTGCCTGAATCCCTGAAACCATGTAGGGAGCGCTCTGTGATCATGCTCACTGTAATCTCAGCAATGTGGCTCTGTGGGACGTGGCTTGCTCACATTGTCTCCATGCCTGTGCAACACTGGCACCTCTTTCCTCTCTGACCCGCTGGGCTCCTTCTAACTTGCCCTTCAGTGTCCTGCCCAGACAGCACCATCTCCACACCACCTACCCCTACTCCAAAGGTTGGAGGCCTCCCCCCGCCTTGTGTGCTCTGAACACCCTCAGCATCATGGCTGAGGTTATCGACCCCTGCACCGCACTGCTTGGGTTCTGATACTGTTTTGAGACCTTGATGAGGTCAGAACCTCACTTTTGGACAAATGGAGATAGTAATGTGTCTACCTTGTAGAGTTGTGAGGATAAATGACAGTGTATGCATACAACATAAAACTGCCAGGCCTATGAGCGCCCAGTAAGCACACGTTAATTAACATGACTTATATAGGAACGCTCTAGCTCACTGGTTATGACTTTTAATTTCATAAGCTGCTTGAGAATGACTGATGGGTCTAACTTCTCATTCTGTCCCTGGGTCCTCAAGGAAGTCTTGGACAGGAAAGTTCTGGGAACAGAGTCTGGATTTACTGAGTAAAGATTCAAGGGTGAAAAGGACCCAGGCTTGTTTGATTTCCAGCACTGCAAAAAAAAAAACAAAAAAAAACAAAAAAACCAATAACATAAAAGGTGGTGGGAGTGGTGAGTTGGGGTCAGAGTTAGCTGGAGATGTGGTTCAGTAGTAGGACATTTGCCCAGCACGCATGAGACCCTGGGCCCGGCTCTAGCACTGAAGAAAACAAGGCCCCAGAGCAGATGTGATTCAGTCTGCTCAGGAAGAGAGTGGGCACATACTATATGGTAAGCATTCCTCTGTCCAGAGGACTACACCAAGAGCTCCGAAAACCTGAGGGAGAGAAGGGCCAGATGCTGCTTTCCAAATGTGATGACGATTAGTGAGAGGCCGCAAAGCAGAGGGTGAGTTTCGTAGGACACAGAGACCATAGGGGACTCAGAGGAGGGGCACAGAGATCATAGTGGACTCAGAGAAGGGGCACAGAGACCATAGTGGACTCAGAGAAGGGACACAGAGACCATAGTGGACTCAGAGAAGGGGCACAGAGACCATAGTGGACTCAGAGAAGGGGCACAGAGACCATAGGGGACTCAGAGAAGGGGCACAGAGACCATAGTGGACTCAGAGAAGGGGCACAGAGACCATAGTGGACTCAGAGAAGGGGCACAGAGACCATAGGGGACTCAGAGAAGGGGCATAGAGACCATAGTGGACTCAGAGAAGGGGCACAGAGACCATAGTGGACTCAGAGAAGGGGCACAGAGACCATAGTGGACTCAGAGAAGGGGCATAGAGACCATAGTGGACTCAGAGAAGGGGCACAGAGACCATAGTGGACTCAGAGAAGGGGCACAGAGACCATAGTGGACTCAGAGAAGGGGCACAGAGACCATAGTGGACTCAGAGAAGGGGCACAGAGACCATAGGGGACTCAGAGAAGGGGCATAGAGACCATAGTGGACTCAGAGAAGGGGCACAGAGACCATAGTGGACTCAGAGAAGGGGCACAGAGACCATAGTGGACTCAGAGAAGGGGCACAGAGACCATAGTGGACTCAGAGAAGGGACACAGAGACCATAGTGGACTCAGAGAAGGGGCACAGAGACCATAGTGGACTCAGAGAAGGGGCACAGAGACCATAGTGGACTCAGAGAAGGGGCACAGAGACCATAGTGGACTCAGAGAAGGGGCATAGAGACCATAGGGGACTCAGAGAAGGGGCACAGAGACCATAGTGGACTCAGAGAAGGGGCATAGAGACCATAGGGGACTCAGAGAAGGGGCACAGAGACCATAGTGGACTCAGAGAAGGGGCACAGAGACCATAGTGGACTCAGAGAAGGGGCACAGAGACCATAGTGGACTCAGAGAAGGGGCACAGAGACCATAGGGGACTCAGAGAAGGGGCACAGAGACCATAGTGGACTCAGAGAAGGGGCACAGAGACCATAGTGGACTCAGAGAAGGGGCACAGAGACCATAGGGGACTCAGAGAAGGGGCACAGAGACCATAGGGGACTCAGAGAAGGGGCATAGAGACCATAGTGGACTCAGAGAAGGGGCATAGAGACCATAGTGGACTCAGAGAAGGGGCACAGAGACCATAGGGGACTCAGAGAAGGGGCACAGAGACCATAGTGGACTCAGAGAAGGGGCATAGAGACCATAGTGGACTCAGAGAAGGGGCACAGAGACCATAGGGGACTCAGAGAAGGGGCATAGAGACCATAGTGGACTCAGAGAAGGGGCACAGAGACCATAGGGGACTCAGAGAAGGGGCACAGAGACCATAGGGGACTCAGAGAAGGGGCACAGAGACCATAGTGGACTCAGAGAAGGGGCATAGAGACCATAGGGCACTCAGAGAAGGGGCATAGAGACCATAGTGGACTCAGAGAAGGGGCACAGAGACCATAGGGGACTCAGAGAAGGGGCATAGAGACCATAGTGGACTCAGAGAAGGGGCACAGAGACCATAGTGGACTCAGAGAAGGGGCACAGAGACCATAGGGGACTCAGAGAAGGGGCACAGAGACCATAGGGGACTCAGAGAAGGGGCACAGAGACCATAGGGGACTCAGAGAAGGGGCACAGAGACCATAGTGGACTCAGAGAAGGGGCACAGAGACCATAGTGGACTCAGAGAAGGGGCACAGAGACCATAGGGGACTCAGAGAAGGGGCACAGAGACCATAGTGGACTCAGAAAAGGGGCACAGAGACCATAGGGGACTCAGAGAAGGGGCACAGAGACCATAGTGGACTCAGAGAAGGGGCACAGAGACCATAGTGGACTCAGAGAAGGGGCACAGAGACCATAGTGGACTCAGAGAAGGGGCACAGAGACCATAGGGGACTCAGAGAAGGG